CGCCCCGGCCCCCAGGATCCGCCGCCCCCTGAGCCCCCTTTCCCCCAGTCCCTGCCCCTCCCGGCCTGTTGAATCTCCCCCATCAGACCCCTTGCCTCTGAGTCCCTCCCAGGCCCTGGTGACCCCCGAAAGCCTGTGCCCCTTACCAAGCCCCATCCTCACGCCCAGACCAGCCCCACTCTGTACTGTCCCGCCACAGCCCCTGTCCTGAGCCAAGCCCCCCTCTCAAGTCTCCCGCCGCTCACAGCCCCCAGGCTCCCCAATCGCAGTCCCTCTCTGGGTGAGATACGCCTCACCGAGCCCTGCCTGAGTGCCCACCTCTGCACAGTCCTGTCCCTAACCAAGTCCCCTGGAGGCCACCCTTCAGCCCCTTCCCTCCTGAGCCCACCAAGTCCAGGCCCTTCACTAAGCTTCAGTGACCCCCACTCAGCCCCCTCCTCTCTGAACCCACTCCCCTAAGAACTCCTGCCCCCTCTCCCCAAATCCGACTCCCACCAAGCCCAGGCCCAACCCTTGCTAACCCGCTTCTCTCACCAAGTCGCTCTCAGAGCGTGTGGCCTCTGTGTTCAGCCTGTCCCTGCACAGGTGAGCCAGCAAGCCCCCCTCTGCCCACAGGGCCACAAGTCCAGCTCCAAGGCCCTGGTCCCTCGCTGAGGCCCTGGACACTAATGACTTTTTCCCTGTACCCCTGTCCAGTCACCTGCCCACGGCCTCTCTGTGAGCCCTATCCATTCCACCTGTGCCCCAGTCCCCCGAGGATGTCCTGCTCCCCACCCTTCTCAGAACCCCCACCACACGCTCACTTGTCCCCGGATGATCTCCCACCCTCATAAAAGTCCCGATGAGTCCTCTCCCCGCTTGGAGAGAACTCCAGCCCTCCCTCCGAGTTCCCTCACCTCACCATGTAGGTGTCCTCTCTGAGCTGGGTCCTTTTCACTAATCTACCGGTCCCCACTGAGCCCCGGGCCCTCCTCCAAAGCCCACCGGAAGCCGTGGTGGTGCACTGCAGCCGTGTTCCCCAGGCATCTCTCTCCAAGCCCGGCCCTTGCTCTGAGCTCCCTTCTCCTCTGACCCTCTCAATCTGGTCTCTGTCAGGTCTGTCCATGACCCTCCCTCCTCTCTCTGAGCCAGGTGCTTCCCAGGGACCCCGTCCCAGCTCTAGTGCTTGCTGGCCTGGGCCTGAGCCTCTGGTCCTCTCCAAACCCTTCTCCCTCTGAACTTCTGTGTTCTCTGAGCCCTGGGCCCTCCTCTGAACCCGTCACCAGGAGCCCTGCCCCCTGTCCAAGACCCACCCCGTCCCAGTCCCCCCCCCCAGCTGACCCCTGACACACAGCCTTATCTGCGGAACATCAGGACCCGCAGCATGAAGCTGACCTGAAATGATGCTGATAAAGTCCTCGGCGAGTGGGATTCCCAAGCACCAGGAGCCCTCCCTCCCATCTTCTTGGATACCCTGGCCACACCCCTCATGAAGCCCAGCCTAGGTCCAAGGGCCCACAGATCGTGGGCGGATGGGGCTGGCCAGGGAACCAGGGTTCAGCCCTCCTCCCCCAACCCACTGTTCCGTCCCCAGGGGCCTGGCACAGGGGAGCCCAGACGCCGTGTCCTCAGGCCAGGCCTGATCTAAGATGCCCTCCCCAGCTTGTATACGTGCTGGGCCACCTGCCTCCCGTGGCCAGACACCACCTCCTTCAGGCCCTCACCTACCACACAGCCTCTGCCTGGTGCTGCCCTGGGCAGGCAGGCCTCAGGGGCAGCCAGGGAGGCCCAGTCTGCACCCAGGGTCAGTGGGTCCTCAGGCAGCAGGGAGGCCTTGACAACTGGCAGGGGCTGCTTAAGGTCACCAGGCAAGGCGAGGGCACAGTCAGGCCCCTCTCCCTGCACCAGACCACCATGGGGCTGCCTCCTTCCTAGGCCCAAGAGGGAGTGCAGGGAGAGTCAGACCCTGCAATGGAGGCCTGGGGTTGCCATCTCGTCCAAGAGATGGAATGTTCTTTGGAAAAGCATAGTGGGCGCTCACCTGGACCACCCCCATGAAAACCACGCCTCGACGCAGGCGCTCACACTAGAAACCTGTGCTGGGCCCTCACCTTGCAGCCTCCAGCCAAGGCCACATCCTGCTGGTCACTGCACCAGACCCTGGAATGAACCAGGCCCTGCCAGCTGGCAGTCTAGCCATGAGCCGGACAGCAAGCTACTCCCTCAAGGTCCCATGTGCAGGCCAGGGAGGCCACGTCTGAAAGCCAGGCCCAGGGAACCCCAAACAACCCTCCATGAGCCTAGCTGAGTCAGACTCTGCAGCACCAGCGTTGCACCAGCCTGTCCCAATTTAGAAGCACCCTTCCCACAGAGCACAAAACACGCCAACACAGAAAGAGGCCTAAGCAGCTGTATTTCCATGTTGACTTCAGCCCTCGGCTGCCCAAGAGGCCAGCAGAGATCAGCACAGGGGAAAGCCGGCGCCCATCCCCCACTCTTCTGCCCCAACCCCCAAGTCAACAAATGTCACCCTCCCCCACCCCCATGGGGTCAGGCACTGCAATGACCCTGCTGGCTTCTGTCCCCTCTCACTCCTTCCAGATCCTTCCTGCTTATCCTCAGGCCTTGGCAACCCCTTTCTCAACGGGTGGGACAAATGGACGGTGGAGGTAGCAGAGCCTGGCTCCAGCCTAGGCTGGGCAGAAGGGCCCTCGGGCAGGGCAGGTTTCTGGAGGAAGCTCCAAGAGGTGGCAGCTGCCTGGTGCAGCCCAGTGGACACCAGGGGAGGGGGCTCCTGGGGTGCTCAACTCATCAGCTAGCAAGCCCTAGCTGGGCCTTCCAAATGAAGGAAACAGATCCACGTACCTGATCAGCCTCTGCCCTTCCAGAACACAGACAGGGAGGGGAAACCACAGAACAGAACAGTGGGCCGGGCCGCGGCCTCCAAGAGCCTGGGCAGTGGGCAGCTGTGCAAGTGTGAGTGAGTGGGGTTGGGGGGACCGGGCTGGGGACTGGCCGGCCTCCTCCTGCTGGACTTTGCTCCAATTCTCTGCCAGCGGGTGGGTAGGGGAGCATGCTAAAGCCTGGCGGCCTCAGCGAAGCCCACCCTGTTGTTGTCGCGGTCAAACACCGTGTAGTAACGGCCAATGAAGACATCACCCAGGATCCAGAGTGGCCCAGCAGGCGGGGGGATGTCCATGCCCATGAAGCCACTCAGGCAGATGGTCTTCCCGCCCTGTGACACCTGCAACAGCCATGATGGTCACCACCGTGGCCCACCCCCACCCCCGGGCCCACTCCAGGGGGGCCCAGGCCACCGTCCCCCCAACCCGTGCCCCACGCACCTTGAGCGTGTAGTCCTCTGCAGACAGACTGTAGGCTTTGCCACCCAGCTTCAGGGTGACGGGGGGCAGGCTGGACACCTTCTCACAGGGGATCATGTACTGGGGGGAGGAAGCGGCTGTAAGGGCCACAGCCCTGGGTGCCCAACCCCTGCCCCAGCCCCGCCCGCACTCACCTCACCCTGGATCAGCGGTATGGCGCCAATGGCCTTCTGCAGCTCGCGCACCTCGTCCACAGGGCCCACCAGGAGGGAGGTGCCCGTGTCCACGATGGCCTCGCAGCCCCCCTGGCACAGGGTCAACCCGCTGCCCACGTCCATCCTGGGAGAAGAGAGGGCACGAGTCCCCCACCTGGGCAGGGATGGGCCCTGGGGGGCAGGCCACCTGCAGTCCTGGCCCTGGCTGGGTCTTCCGCAGGAACATAGCCCAGCTTAGCAGACATAGATGCCTCCCCTCCCCCTCCTCAGGGCTGTCAGGCCCCTGTGGGCCATGAGTGGTTGGATGCGGGGTCAGAAGAAGAGACTTGGAGAGGCAGAGTGGGCGTCAGACCCGCGGGTGGCATGAGGGGCACAGAGGGCTGGTGGGGTACAGCGCCCACCGGGACCCAACCTGATTCCCACCATGTTGTGCACCTGCTGGGTGGACTGGCAGGGGCCACAGCCTGGGCAGGGCCCGGGGTCCCTGTGTGCTATACCCTCCTGCACAACCTAGGGGGCTGCCCACACCCACCACTCACTGGTCAAGGCGGACCTGCCAGTAGGCCTGGCGGGTGACGTTGACATAGGACAGGGAGCCCTTGTAGTACTTGGAATCGAAACCGCCTAGCATCAGTTCACCTCCAGGCTGCACATTTGGGTCCCTGGGAGGAAAAGGAACGAAGGGGTCAGTTGCTTCCCCATCCCCAAGCACAGGAGGCCAGGAGGTCAAAAGGCAGGCAGAGGGTGAGACAACCATGGAGAGCTTCCTGGAGGAGGAACCTTCCTAGACCGGCAAGGCTGGAAGACCCAGAAGGGAAAGGAGGAACAGAACTTCCTTCTGCCCAGGGATGGGCTCTGATCCCACACCCCGTGTGGGCTGCTTGGTGCAGGCCCAGCTCATCCCCACACAAGAGATCACACTCTGGCCGCCCTCGGGTTCTCCTAGTCCATTGGGAGCCAAGCTTCAGGCTGGGACAGCCAGAGTCAAGGCTGTGGGACCGACGGAGCAAGTGCCAGGAGCTCAAGGAAGGTAGACCCTGCCTGCCTGGAAGAGACACCGAGAGGCTTCCAGAAGGAGGCAATGCACGCCCTGAGCTGCTGAGAAGGCCTGCTCCTGCCCCAGGGTCTTCGCACCCGCTGTTCCAGGAGAAGCGCCCGCCTGCATCCCCCAGCCCCGCTGGCTCCTCCTCCAGATCTCGGCTTCTCCGTCGTCTGCCTGTAGTCTCCCACCCAGGGCGCCTCGGGCAGGAACACGACCCATTTGCCTTTCTGGGATCTGCAGTCCGTAAGGCCTGGGGTCCTTAAACTAAGGGTGAGCCAATCCCAGCGGGCACTGGGAAAGCTCTCCCCACCTGGAACTTTCTGCCGTCCTGCAGGGGTGTCCCCACACTCAGAAGCAGCAGGCCTGCCTGACTCTGTCCTGCCACCTCCACCAAGGCCTGCACCCCTCTCCAACCTTAGTCTTCTGTCCCCACCTCTGAAATCCCAAGTGTAGAAACCTGATCAGCGCCTCCGGTCCCTCTGCGCCTCACCCACGCCCCACCCACCAAACCTGCTCTTCTGAGCCCTCGGCCCAGAGCCCATTGACCCCGAGACCCCACCCGGCAGCCCCAACCTCAGGCCCTGCCAGCCTGCTGGGCCCTCCTGCCTAAGCGAGGAGACCCTCTTCACCTCACTTGCCTTCCCGGTGCCCCTGCCTCCCCTGTGGCTGTCCCTCTGCGTCCCAGCTTCCAACTGCTAAGTAGTTACTGCCCAAGCAGGAGACGGGAGAGAGGCCACACCACAAATGCCTTGGGGTCAAGGGGCAGGCCCTGAGATGCCAGGTGCCCAGGGGGCATGTGAGAGGGAATTCCACCAAGGCAGCCCGGTCAGCCCTGGAGGGGAGAGTGCGGGCTGTGACCAGGAGCAGCTCAGGGCAGGAGGCTGCCCGCTGACCCTCCAACCTGCATCTGGGAGCAGAGCCAGGCAGTGTGGCACTCCCCAACACCCATCGCCCCTCATGCCTGCAGCAGCTCCCACTGAGAACCTGCAGCACCAGCCTGGGAAGAGGAAGCCAAGTCCAGAGGGCCACCTGACCATGGGTCACCTGTGCTTGGGCAGCAGCTGCTGGGGTGGGGTCACCCTGAAGGAAGGGGTCCCCAGCATCCTAGAGAACAGCTGGCACCTGGCAGCAAGGACCACAAGACCACTCTCCATATGGCGACCGGGGCCCACAGTCTTCTCCCAATAGTACCTAGCAGGCCCATCCAGGATCACCTCCCTGGGGAAGCCCCCAGCCCCTGGGCATATTCCCCCAGAGTGCCTGTCACAGATCAGGATCACGGCCACATCTCCCCAAGGTCACTGGCAGCCTGCGGGAGCAGGACCCTGTCTGCCTGTCACTAGACCCAGGGAGCATCAGGCAGACAACACCAGGAGGAACTGCCATCACCCCACCCTGACCCCTGACCCAGGTCCAATTCCTACAGGAGGGAGGCCCCAGCAGACAGCACCTCCCCCCGGGAGACCCTGCTGGAACACAGCTCTCCTGGGAGCTACATGCCCCTCTGTCAGAGGGCAGCCCACCCCTGCCTCCCCGATGTCCTTAGGTCAGGGGTCAGGAGCGGCACCGGCGCCTGCAGGGAGGGCGTGGGCGGGCAGGAGGGGCAGCACAGTGACTAGGGATGATGCGTGGCTCCCGGCTCAATGCCCCTCGCCCTGATGCCAGCACCCACCTGTTCAGGTAGAAGGAGAAGATGTTGTTGTCCACTAGCTTCTGTCGCATCACGTTGTCGAAGACAGGCAGCACATCGTTGACCGAGATGCGGGGGTACGCCATGCCCAGAATGCCGTCAAACTTGGCCGCGATGAAGGTGATGCCCGGCTGCTTGGTGGCCTCCCCAAAGATCTGCCACTGCACTTTGACGCCACGCACAGCTGGACTGCAGGGCACCTGCGGGCCACAAAGCCAGCTCAGTGGACAGCCCCTGCCCTACGATGGCAGGAGATGCAGAGAGTGCCCTGAGGAAGGGCTGGAAACGTGGAGCTGGACACTGCAGGGGACGAGCTGGGGATGGGATGCAGGGCATGGCTGGGTGGCATCTCCTGGGAGGGAGCACAGCGGGGCAGGCTCCTTGCTCAGCTCAGCTCCGGCCCTTTCCCCTCCCCTTCCCCCTAGGTGGAGCTGGACACTGCAGGGGACGAGCTGGGGATGGGATGCAGGGCATGGCTGGGTGGCATCTCCTGGGAGGGACCACAGCGGGGCAGGCTCCTTGCTCAGCTCAGCTCCGGCCCTTTCCCCTCCCCTTCCCCCTAGTGCCAGCCCAGTCTTGCTCCTGCCATGGGCTCTGGGACGAGACTCTGGGCACCCTGCTGACCCTGCCCGGAGCGGCAGATTCCAACCACACTGCTCCCTCCCCCAGCCTGGGGCCGCAGCTGCAGAGAGGGAGGCCAGAGCAGGATGTGGGAAAGGGCAGGCTGGGGGAGGCCTGACGAGGGCCCGGGCTGAGCAGGGCCCAGAGCAGAGAGAGAACCCCAGGGAGACCCCAGCAGATAAACCTGGGCAGGAGGGCTCAGAGACAGGGGGACATGAGCGGACTTCGGGGCAGGCCACCCCAGACGAGCAGGACACGACCGAGCCCCTGGGCCCACACCCAGCAAGGACTGTTAGGAACAGGCTGGAGAAAGGGGCCTTCCTCACGGACCCCCAGCCCTGCAGGAGGGCTTCGCTGCAGTCACCTCTACTCAGCAGCCCCCAGAACTCCTGGACCCCTCCTGTGCCCAGCCCACCTGAGCAGCAGGCAGCCCCAAGGCAGGACCAACTCAGGCGGGGCCCCCAACAGCCACCCTTGTCACCTTCCACCTCCCTCCCACTTCCTCTGTGGCTGTCTCCCCGCCTCCAACCTGCATCTGGGAGCAGAGCCAGGCAGTGTGGCACTCCCCAACACCCATCGCCCCTCATGCCTGCAGCAGCTCCCACTGAGAACCTGCAGCACCAGCCATGTCACCTTCCACCTCCCTCCCACTTCCTCTGTGGCTGTCTCCCCGCCAGCAGCCCCTCTCCCCTCCACCCACTGACTGCAGGACCCCACTCATGCCTGGGCCTGGCCATGTACACCCTGCGGGTGCCTCAACCCAGTGCGCCCAGAATGGAACCCAAGCCTCCCCACCAGCACCTCCGCCTGCAGCTGCCCCGCTGGCGGCTGGGGAGGAAGCATACCACACCACTACCCAGGGCTGGGGCCTGGACCCACCCTGTCATCCAGGCCACCGTGACTTCTCAGTGTTGAAGTCCTTACCCTATCAGCAGACCCCGGCCCCGGTCGTCTCTACCTGCTCACGGTACCCTGACTTCCAGGGAGTCCAAGCCCTTCCAGCCCTTCTGGGGTTTCTGACTGTCCCTCCGGCCTGCACTCATGCCAGTCCCGCTCCTGATCTCCTTCCTCACTCATTTCTTTACCACCGAGAGCACGAGGCTCTTCCTGCCCCGCGCCTTTGCCCGAGCCTTGCCTGCCTAGCAAGGCTGCCTCCCCTCCAGCTCTCAGCTCACTGCTACGGGCCATCTCAGGAGCTGGGGTCGGGCTGGGGGACCCACACGTGAAAGGAGGGTGAATCCCCGACCAGGGCGAGCACCCCCAGGCCCCAGGAGTGGGCAGGCCCTGAGAGGGACTCACCGACACGGTGTCCTGGCTCAGGTACCCGGAGAGGCTGCCCGAGCCGTAGTGGATGTCAAAAGTGGTGCCGTTCTTCACGTAGGTGCTGGATTTCTTGCTGTTGTACTTGTGGTGGATCCCTGCCCCAGGGAGTGAGGGGCTCGTCAGCCTGTGCCCTCGTCACAACCCAGGACCTACAACCCCCCCAAAACTGCCACAGAGCCCAGCCCCCAAGATGCTTCCCAGGGTGAGATGTGGCAGTGCCTGGAGGCCCACCACGCTAGGGGTCCTGGAACCATGGACTGTGACCAGAGAGCTTCGGTCTAGACCCCAGCTCACTCCGGCCTCAGCCACCACAGCCCCCGGCCCTATGAGGCAAGGCTGTGCTGGTGTGAACAGGTTCACCCGGAAAGTAGCACCGTGGGGCAGGACAGGGGATCTGGCCCATCTGATGTGGCCGAGGCAGGAGCAGCATGTTGCCTAAGAGGGCCCCTGAGGCAGGGCCCCCTCCAGGTGCCAGGCCCACCCCTGTGTTCCTGGTGTATCCCTGCCCTCCAGCTATATCCCAGAGGGGCCAGACTAGAGACTGCAGGTGGCTGGCAGGCCCCAGCATCCCAGAGGGAAAGCGTATACATGTGCATGGGGTAGACGGTGGGCTGTGTGGGGGTCCCTCCCCAGAGTCTCCCCATCCCTGCCGCTCTGGCAGCCAGAGACCCCTGAGCATGACTGAGTGCATGGGGCAGGCAGGGTCAGGGCAGTGCAGAGCCTGGCCAGGCCCGCACGGCAGGCGGACATCCTAAAGGTGCGGGGCCCTGGGCCTTGCCCCTGGCCACCCGGCAGAGGCGTGGGGACAGTGGGCAGGCAGGGGAACACTCACAGCAGGCGATGTCCAGCAGTTTGCAGTTGACCGATGGGACCCACAGGTTGGATGAGCCAGTGTCGAAGACAACTGTGAAACACTGGGGCGGGGTCCCGATGCCGATCTCCCCGTAGTACTGGGCCTGGGCAGGGACAAGGCCTGTCAGAGCCATAGGGAGGGTGCCCCATCTCCACATGGGCTTGCAAAGGCCCCCGGCTGTCCCGGGAGCCAGGCCTTGAAGGCCGAGTCTGGAGGGAGGGGCTCTGGGGTCCAGACCTCTGTTGTCATGTGGCCCAGGAGCTGTCCACTCCCACCCGCCCCCGCCGAGTCTGGTTGTGGCTCTTCCCAGGACCCAGCCCTCGGTCCTTATACCCACAGGTACTGGATGTCTCCAGAGCCCTTGCTACAGCTGCCCACCCCAGCCTGATGCATGGAGAGGTTGGGGAGGGACAACCACATTTGACAGATGAGACCAGTGGTCAAGCCAGTGTGGGGACAGGCTTGGCCCTCAAGCTGAACCCTGGGTGTGGGAAAGACCTGTTTGCAAGGCCCTTCTGCTGTCAGGGGTCCGAGGTCCAGGAAGAGAAGTGCCTTCCTCTTGGGGCCTCAGTCCCTGCTCTGACCTTGTCCCACAGGGCCACTCCTGGAGAGCTCCCAGGCAGAGGGGTGCAGCTGACTGACAGTCCTGGCTTGGGGTCAAACACCACGCAGCAACTCTGCCTTACCTACCCTGGGCCTCAGTTGCCCCCTGAGGTCAGAGGATGCGGAGGTCCTGTAGTTCAGGGTCACTTGGGTCCTGGCTGCCTGGGCACCCCCTTCCCTGGGAGGGAGGCTGGGCCACTGGTTGGCTGCAGGGTTCTGGCTCCAGTCCCACCCAGTGTCTCTCCGGCCACTAAGCTCCAGGGAGCAGCGGTGGCTACCTCATGACCGGACAGAAGTGTCCAGACGGGGGGAGGGGGATGACTCAGCAAACCTCCGGGTGAGTGTGTATGTGTGCATGTGTGTGCATGTGTGCTGAGCATGTGAACACGTGTGGGTGTGTAGGTACGTGTTTATGCACATGAACACGTTTGTGTGTGTGTGTGTATGGGGTGTATGCGTATGCACGCATTACTGCTTGTGTGCACACATGTGCATCTGTGTTGTCTATGTGTGTGCACGTGTATTTACATGTCTGAGTGTATGCACGCGTGTGTATGAGTGAATTTATACCTGTGTGCATGCATGTGTGTGGTGGGGGATCAGGACTGGTCAGCCGGGCCCCAGGCACATGGTCCCCCTTTTCCCCCCAGTCAGGTCACATGCCTGTGAGTCTCAGGCTTCCTGTCACAGCCAGGCCTCAGCCCAAGCAGGACAAAGGGCATGGCTGCCCATCCCACCCCCAGCAGGCCATGGGGCCCAGAGTGGGATGGCAGTGAGGGCTTCTCGAGGCTCAGGGCAGGGGTATGAGAATGGACAGCCGCAGAGATGCCAGGTTCTGGCCCAGAACCCAGCCCTGGAGCTGGGAACAGACGGACCAAGCCCCAGCTTCCTACGTGGATTCCAGAATGTTCCACGACTGAGCCTGTTTCTCTACAACAGGGCTGCTAATTGAGGAGAAGACAGTGAGGGCAGGCAGGGTCACAAGGTCCCAGACTGTCCAGCTGGACAAGCAGGGAGACAGAAGCTCCAGGGCCATTCCTAACACCCAGGCAGGCAAGCCCAGATGATCCGAGCTCAAAGGCCCCCAGAGCCCCACTGTGCAGCCTCTCAGGGCCAGGTTTGGGTTTCATTCCAGGCCCCTCCATGCCCTGCAGGAGGGTCATGAGGATTAGACCCCCGTGCAGCTCTGAGCTGCTGGTCAGTGCTCGGGACATGCAGGGTGAGACATCGCCAATGCCAGGCCACCCCCAACCGGTGGTTCGTGTGAGGTGTGGTGCTGCAGGGCGTGGCTGAGCCTGGGAGCCCCGCCCCCTACAGAACAGGTGCATCTCAAAACCACTGGCTGCCCAGAGCAAGAGATGGGAGCATTTCACCAGATGGCTCAGAACCTTCCCTGAAGCCGGCTCTGCCTGAAGCAGGGCTTACCAACAGCACCCCCTTCATGGCCCCCACACTCACGTCCATGTAGTTCTTCAGCATCTCGGGAATAGGCCCCTGGCCCACGGCGGGCATCCCCTGGGAGTACTTTGAGATGGGGCCCGGAGCAATCAGCTCCTCCACGGGTCCGCCTGCCTCGGACATGGTCCGTCGGATGGATGTGAACTTGTACAGAGGAATTCTGTCAAAACGGGTCAGGCCATCTTAGGGGGGGGCTCTGGCGACTGCCCTCCTCCACCTCCCACCCGGGGCGCCCCTGGCAGGGTAAGGGTGGGCCCCCCGCATGCCGGCTGAGGGCCTGCCCAAGAGTGGTCTGCACCGCACATCCGCCTGATGCAACCTCCTGCCTGTCGCCCGAAGCCCGCAGGCCCAGCTTCCCCCACATCAGCAGGGGGGAACCCGTCACCACCCCCAGGTTGCTTGGGCCAAGTCCTGGAAGGCTTTGATCACCCGCTCCCCCCACCCCCACCCAGGTGGGAGGCCAGTGTGCCCCTGTCCCTCCCCGGCCACCCTTGGCTACCCCAGAGGCTACAAAAGCCCGGCTGGTCTCCCATCCTCCCTCTGTACCTGCTGTGGTCTCCTCTGGGACAGTGGCCCGTGGGGTCTGTTTAGGGTGTTGGCAGGTGCCTACCACCCCTGCTGTAAGAGTCCCGCTGTACCTGGCCTCCTGTTCACATGTGCTCTCCACCCAGACCCTGCACCCAGGTGTTCCCCACCTCCAGGCCAGCACTGGCAGCTCTGTCTACCCGGCCTCCCCGGCAGCCTCCTCCGGACCATCAGATGGGCCTTTAACACCACCTCCCCCCAGAAGCCCTCCTGAACTGCTGCACTCACTCCCGCTCCCCACCGCAGCCCAGCCTCACGAGGCCCAGGAGTGACTGCACCTGGGGCACTCTGGGTTCCTGTGCTTCCTCGAAACGTGTCCCTTGGTACCCCTCCTCAGAACATCCCTCCAGAGGAGCCTGGCACCCCCCAGCCTAGGGTGGCCTCGGGGGAGTTAAAAACTGAGGTCAGATGTCCTGAGCTGTTACCCACAGGGCACACGGCAGAGAGAGGGGTCCCTGTCCCCCACCCCATGTGTCTGAGCTTGCTCCTGCTTCAAGAAGAGCTCGCCTGTGCTTTTAATCACTTGGATGAAACTTCCTCCCTACCCCAGGGATTCGAGAGTCCAAGGTCACAGCTGGCTTTTCCTAGCATGTCAAGGGCATGCTCCAGGAAGACGGGATTCTTGCCCCAGGCTCTGGCCTAGGGAGAGGACCACACCCTCTAGGGATCAAGGAAACAGGTGCCATCATCCCACAGGACCTTGGGGTCAGGCCTGAGGGACTCTGGTCAGCTGCCACCCCCAGGGAGCCCCCGGCTCCCTTCTACACTGCTCTCTCTGCTCTTCTCGGGAGAGGGGAGGCCTATGGGTGGGGCTGGCAAGGCTGAGACAGGTTCCCTACAATGGCTCCATTAGAGCTACCTGCCCCCAGGCCGCAGCCCACGGCTCGATCTCACCCAGCACCACAAACCCGTGCCCCTAGCCGGCCCAGCCAGCTCCCCAGCTCCTGCAACCCTATGACTTCACCCACCTGCCCACGAGCGGCAGGCCCACAGCACGTGGAAGGATGCCCAGGCCGCTCAAAAAGCTCCGGGGGCAGGGGCAGACTGCCTTGTGAGAGGGGCAGAGTGGGGGGATCGGGGGGTCCTCAGCCTCGGGCCTCCTCTGCCTGGCTGGCACAACATACGCAGTTCCAGTCCAGGCCTGCCAGTTGATGGCCTCCCCTGGCAGAGGGGGAACAGGTCCCTAGGCCTGAAGAGACCATGGTCCACACGGGGACAGAGCCCCAGCCCCAGGAGGGGTAAGCCGGACCACTTCCCCATACCTCCTCCTCTCTCTGGGACAAACAGGATTCTTAGGGTCCCCAGGACGCTCCCCGCCCAGAACCTGTGGCAAGACCCCCTGCAGCAGACGGCGCAAGGCCACACCTCGGTTCACAGAAGGCCAAGGGGACCCAGAGAGCGAAATGACTTGCCCAGGTCCAGGGGGCTCCAGGGCCAGCACTCCTGGGTCTCCCGACTTCCACACGCGGGCCCCGAGTACAGACATCCCAGTCCATCGTCCTGAATCAGCGCCACCTCCTCCCCACCTGCGACGCTGGGGACGCCGGGGGCAGCCCCGACACGGCCACCCCCTGGCCTCCTCCCGGCCCCTCCAGGCCGACCCCAGTGGTGTGGAGAAGGGGCGTCCGGCGCCTCCACACGGGGTCGCCGAGCTGCGCCCCCGGAGCCCCGCGCCGGCAGGTGGAAGGCCCTGCGGAGGCG